TATACTCCAAGGAAAAACCACAATTCACCCCTCATCAAACACAGGGCTGAATTTACAACCCTCACAGTTAAAACAATTAATCAGTGGAACAGTTTGCCTCCAGAAGTTGTGAATGCCCCAACACTGGAAGTCTTTAAGAAGATGTTGGATAGCCATTTGTCTGGAATGGTATAGGGTTTCCTGTTTAGGCAGGGGGTTGTACTAGAAGACCTCTAAGGTCTCTTCCAACTCTGCTATTGTATTGTATTTATAGACATGACATATAGCACAGCTCTCCCTTCACAATGAACCATTCCCGGTTTGTGGTTTCACACCTACAAAATCTAACTGAATCATGCTTATCTCCATACTCCACCCACAAGTACAGCTTATGTTTGATCATGTTGATGACTTAATTCCCAAATCATCAAAGGAAAAAAACAGAAAGGGGATGGATTTCCATTTCAGCCTATCTTTCTAATGTCCCCATCTCTGACAATACTTTGGCTTAAAGGAATGAAATCTTTGGCTCCTCACACAAAAGGAGAAACCCAGATCAGTTACAACAGTTAAGACAGCCTCATTAGTTTAGGTTTGATTAAAATACACCCTCTCTATATTGAGGGGTTCATAGCTAAGCTAATATCTGGACATCAGATTTAGAGAAAGGAAAAGATCTTTTTCACTCTTTCTTTACTGAGTAAGAAAGGAAAACAGCTATTTACAGAATGGCCAGCATCAGCAAGCTGTCGAGGTTCTTCCTGACACAATTCTCTTCACGTGTCATGAAAATGCCACTGGATCAGACATTTGTCCCCTATTTATACATGCTACCATTTCCCATGTGTAAGTATTGGTAATCACAAACTGGACCCCCATTTAATAACCAGACATTTTTATAAGGTTGTACACAGAAAAGTATTAGCTGGCAAGGGAAGCAGCAGAGCTAGAGTATTAATCATTCACAGCTCCATTTTAATTCATTCAACCACACAGAAGTTGTTCATTTTATCTAAATCAATCTTTCCCCCATTTAATGCCTTAAACAGCAGTTCCTATCAGTTCAAGGCAGCATGACCACAGATAGTGGGAATCATTGTCCTATTCATCTCAGACAGGAACACTGGGAACAGGAAGGGAAAGGCTGCTATAGATAATCACTGCACAAACTTCAGAATTCGTATAAAATATGACTAGATGGTTCTGTTCTGAGCTGAAGCAACATCTTCAGCACCTGGGGGATAAAAAAAGAAAGCAAAATACATGCAAAAGTGCTTCTACCTATATTGGGCTGACTGAAATTCATCCATAAAAGAGTGAAAGGCAGACTTCTGGCACTGAGACTCCTACGAAAATATGACTAACACCAAAATTGCAATTATTTTGGCAACAGCTCATACCAATTGTGTTTATTCAGGCATGTTAATTTTCCATTTTTCCCAGTTAAATAATTCATTGGATTTTTTTTTCTTTTTAAACTGTATTTTTACACTATCTAGTTATGTACAAGGGCAATTTGTTTTAAAACAACTAACTGCAAGGAAGTGACTGCTACTGATCAACATATACTGTACCTATTGTGCCCTAGTATTATGTCCCTTTTGCCTTCTTTAGCATGAGGAAGCTAAAGTCTACATCAGCAATCCTTACTGTAAGAGAATCAGGCATTGAGAAGACTCATTTCATACCTACAGTTATCACAAATAAAGAAAGCTATGTCAGTTTGCAATTTCTTAAGTAACCACATGATGTGGGCCTTCATAACGTAGAGCTAATAGTGTTCTTCTACTGGCAAGTCCCCTCAGTCAAAGAATGTTGACTGGTGGAGTCTAGGAAGAGGATCTTCTCTACTGCTGCTCTTGCATTGTGGAACATCTTGTTCACTGAGGTGAGGAAAGCCCCCAATGTGTTGGCCTTCTACAAAGGGGTCAAAACCTGGCTGTGTGGCGTTGCGTGAGGGACACAGAGGCCCACACAATTGTGGGGCTGGCTGGTCCCATGGGACCCTTCCTGCCTGCATTAACAACAGCTAACCCTCCATCTTGGAATTTTTCACCCCTGGAAATTTTAAATTTTTATTTTTATAATTTTAAAACTTTTCAATCTTAAATTAATTTTGATTTTAATATCTTTAGTTGACAAGGCAATGGCCATCAGACAATAGCAAATCATCATCTTACCTTTACAGGCCACATTGTTCTCAGGCTCATATCCAGCCTTGCAAGTACAGCGGCCAATGGGAACCATCCATTCCCCATCACCATTGCAGTATAATTTAATGGGCACATCCACCTCCTCGGCATTGGGAATGCACGTACCTCGTGCAATCACTAAGGAAGTACTTTCTGCTCCTGTCATGGTCTCTGGAAAGATGGCAAAATTTTGCACCACACTTGGGCATTTCTTAAAGAAGACCCTTACAGACAGCAATGACATGCATGCCCCATAATCCTGAAAGGCAAGGTAAAAGCCATTCCGATTGAGGGGCCCAAAGCTCCTCACCTCTGTGTTCACCTTCATTAACCTGCCACCAAAGTCCACCTGAGAGAAGCTCTCATCTGCAGCAATAGTGTCCACCTTGAGGTAGGGGGCTTCTGTCCAGAAAGCTGACTTCTTGGTGGCAATAACAGAGTCTGTTTCATAGTAATATAGGTTGAAAGTTTCCTTACAGGAACCAGGAACATTGGGAAGGCTGCTACAGTCCCGTACAGTGAAGCGCATTTCTGTATAAATACGGTGTGCACCATGTCGATTTATGAAGGTGGTAAGTAACCAATTGTTCTGGTTGGGTTCAAAGACGTTGCAAACTTGGTAAGTACGTATTGTGTTGAGGTTCTCATCGTAGCCACTGACTTCCTCCCACTGTATGGAACAAATAAGAAAGGGGGAAATCAGGCAATTAAACAGGATGAAAAGAAGGAAACACAGGGATGGCACTTTAACTTGGAGAATTATTACTTATAACAAGATAGCTGGGATGTACAGCCTTAGAGGAGTGTTAAAGCTTTACAATCAGTTGGACAAATGTATGCAGTGTTGCTGCTGTTAGGGCCTATTCCAGGGTTTATGAGCTTGGAATCAGCCAATAAAAATTAAAACAAGTAAACTAAAATGATTCCTAGCTAAAGAAAGAAAAAAAGTTTACATGCATGAATGTATGCATAAAGACAGAGAAAGCCACAGGGGCCTCACAAAATGAATACAAATTTAGTATTTATTGTTAAAGCTGATGTAACTCAAATGCATCTCTGACAGGTATTTTGACAAAATTAATAAAATTCAACTAGTTTTTGTTGCTCTGGTAGGCTGACCTCTTTTAACTCCCTAATTGACAGAACCACTTTAAGCTTGGCAGTTTTCTAAGAACACTTACCTTGAAAAGAACTGGCAACTTCAATGTCTGTGTGTGTGTGTTTTTTTTAAAGGGTTGGGACTAAATTCAATATGATTTACAAGATGATTTAAAGCAATTTATTTGAAAATTAGTCTGTGATTTACTTGCTCCTTTGGATAAAAAGAATCTTAAAATTGTAGTGAGATATCATTCAGAAATAGCATTTCTAAACCAGAAAAAATACATACTAAATTTATTTATTACGAATCTTTACACTTTATATTTCAGCTTCATGATCCTCAAGACAGATCACACACTTCAGTAAGAAAGTATGATTCTACATATGACATTAAAGCAATTGCATTTTTTAGGCTTGTTCAGAAGTTCAAAAAAATACCCAGGTGCTTTAAACAGGTGCTAACCTGTGTATCCCAGATCACTTCTGATGAAACGTTTCTGAAGCACTCATAGGTCTAACAATATATATAAACAAAACTAGGGCAACTATCATAGTGAAACAGCAGTAACATCTATTTAGCATAAATTAAAAGTCCTTGTACCCTACACTAGAGTTTTAGATTGTTGAAGTGACCTAGGAGTGCATGTGAGTGAGTTCTAGCAGTGGTTAATTGCTATTTGAGTGAAGGGGTTGTTTTTCAGCCTTTAAAGGGGACTTGCTTTGCCCTCTACTCCAGATGTCAATGCTGGATCCCACTAAACTGGACAATTTTCATCCAGAACTATGCCATCTTTGGTTTCGGATGGCATTGCACCGCCCCAGACAGACGTAGTGTGCAATCTTCATACACTCACAATTCCTGCTTGAAAAGCAGATAACAGTCCTGGCTAAGATGACCTTTGCACAATTTCATGTTGTGCACCAGTTATGTCCATACCTGAACAGGCATTGTTCACAGTCATCTATGTTCTAGTTACTTCCAGATTGGACTATTGTAAGGTGTTCTAGAAGGCTGCCTTTGTAGAGTATACAGCAGCTTCTGTTGGTGCAGCAGTGGTGGGTTCCAGATCCCATTGCAACAAGTATGGTCGTAATGGGCCCCGGCATCCTCCACATGAACCAGTGCAGCACGCAGTGCGCGCATGCGTCGTACCTTCCAGCGATGCTCCGCAAGCCTCCGCAATTCTCCAGCTGCCCGGCTATATGCCCCATGCACATGCGCAGAAGCAACAAAGGTTTTAAAGAACAGGTAAGGAGTGTGGATGGGCGGGTGCTCCAGGTAGGTTCTGGTACGCCCCTACCAGGGCGTACCACCTGCAACCCACCACTGATGCAGCGGTGCAGAGAGTGGTGTGTGCTCCAAGAATATCATATGTCACACCTCTTCTCTGCAAGCTGCACTGTTGCCAGTTTGCTTCTGGGTACAATTCATGACGTTGCCTTTAATCTTTAAAGTCCTTTATGGCATGGGACCAGGTTATCTGAGGGAAAATCTCCACTATTATATCAGC